GAGTGCTGTGATGTGCCGAGTGTGGGCACTCAGGGCACTCCAAGCCAGGACTGCTTTGCAAGGGGGGAACCCCTGAGAACTGTCTGTCCGGGGTGGGGGTCGGGTCCCTTTAAGCATAGCCCTCGGCTAGCCTGAGACAGCAGCTCCACGCTCTAAGTCCTAATCTGATGCCCTGCCGGCACTGCTTCCGGCCATCCTTAACCTCGTTTCAGGGTCCACTCAGTGTGGACATGCTAGTTCGAATTAACAAAACGCTAATTTGAACTAGTTTTTAAGTCTAGATGAGCTAATTCGAATTAGCTTAGTTGAAATTAACTAATTCGAACTAAGTTAGTTCGAATTAGTGCTGTAGTGTAGACATACCCACAGAGTTTATTGGTTCAAAACAAAAGGTCTGGTTTATTTTATCAACAGGGTAAGGGAAGGGAGGACAGGGGAAGGGAGAGGTGGGGAGGGAAAGCACAGAGGGGCAATGCACAGGACCCTTATGGGGAGGCCCAGGGGAGTGTCACAAGTGTCCTTGTCTGAAACTCTCCCTCCGGGCCTCTTGGATACACACACCCGCCAACGGGCTTGCCAGATGGCAGCCATGTGCAGCTATTCAAAGGCCGTGTCCAACTGCTCGACCTCTGCTACCCACCCTGGCAGGAACGTCTCCTCCTTGTTCTCACATATATTATGGAGGACACAGCAGGCTGCTAACACTTGGGGGATGTTCCACTCACTGAGGCCCAGGCGAGTGAGGAGGCAGTGGAACCTCCTTTTCAAATGGCATCCTTGACAACAGTGCAGGCCCTGCTGACCCTGATGTTAAAATATTCCTTGGTGAGGTCCACGTGTCCAGTGTAGGGCTTCATGAGCCAGGGGAGCAAAAGGTAGACAGTGTCACCTGTGATGTAGATAGGCATGTCTATGTCCCTGACCCTGATGGAGTGGTCGGGGCAAAAAGTGCTGGTGTGTAGCTTCTGGAAGAGGCTGGAGTTCCTATATCCCATATTTCCAAAATATTATCTGGTATAGAACACCTCATATTGTCCACTTGTAATAAAATTACTAGCAGAACTTTGTCCTTCCCTGTCACATAAATTCCAAATGTTCCTCCTTGGTTTATATTTGTTAATATGGAGTCAATCGTTAAGGCCTGTTTTTATTTTGCAATTGACTTGGCATGTTCTGAAGTCCACTTCCAGGTGGCTCCTTTCTTTAACAATCCTTACAGTGACCTGGCTAATTCAGCATGAGCTAGCATAAAATCTTTACTGAAATCTGTCATTCCCTGGAATGATCTCAATGCTGTCTCAGACATAGGCCAGAGTAGAAAACTGATTACCCTCATCTTTTCTTGACTGGAACTTCTTCTAGTCTGACCAGAAGCTTCAGGGGGTAATCGAGTTAGTCTGTACAAGATAAACTTAAAAAACAACAAATAGTCTGGTAGCACTTTATAGACTAACAAAACATGTAGATGGGATCATGCACTTTCGTGGGCACATCCTGGTCATCTGAAGAAGTGGGCTGTGCCCACGAAAGTTCATGATACCATCTACATGTTTTGTTAGTCTATAAAGTGCTACCAGACTATGTGTTGTTTTTAAGTGTAGTCTGAACAGTTCTGATTTCCACAAAACTAATCCTTTAAAAAAAAACCTTATCTCCACCTCTACACGTGTTTTCAATCCTTCTGCAGAGACCTCTCAATGTTCTTCTCTAGCTTCTGTATAAATTATAACAAATCATTCAGATGTTGTAAAACCTGATTCCTATTTGTTCACGCTTCCAATACTTGTTTTGTGTGGGCATGAAAAATAGCATTTTCAAAGTGTAGTTCATTCACAACATACTCTACAATTCATTACACACTGCATCCTTGTTGCAATACTTCAGTTTCAAGTATTTTCTTCTGAGAGGCTTTTAACTGTCTCAAGATGCTTCTACACAGCACCCTAAACTCAAAATAAGATACGCAAAGTATCTAATCGCGAATGTATTTCAAAATAGCTTATTTTGAAATTTGGCACGGCTACCCAGTGCCAAATTTCGAAATAACGTGCAACGAGATTTACTGGAATGCCTAAATAATGCACTCGTTATTTCAAAAAATATTTTGAAATAATGGACAGCTTGTGTAGATGAGGGATAGCTATTTTGGGATATCTCTGGTATCCCAAAATAGTCATGCAGTATAGACATACCCTCAGAGGCCAGGACCAATTGTTCTCTTAATGTTCTAGTTCTGTTTTCATCTCTTCCTCTTTATTTTGCCAAATTAGACTCTTCCTTTATTTGATTTTTGTTTCTTACATTCAGCTTTTAGGGGTGAGTGACAGTCTGCCATATTTTTATTTATTTATTGGTTAATCAAGTCTGCATCCAGCACTTGAGTGTCCACTAATCAGGATCTCCCATTCTTCATATTTTCAAAGCCTTTAGTCATCCACTGGGGCCTGCTACATAGTTTTCTACCCATGTGCCAAGAGTTATCAATACCCTGGTTTGAAACCAGGAGTTGAGTGGAAGATATTTGATCATGAGTCAGATAATCTGCTTAACCAAAATAAATTCCTAACCAGTATCCTCTGCCTTATCCTCCAGCCTGCCTTGCCATGTCTGTTCAACTAATTTTTCATAATATGGTTATGAGTCTAAAATGTAGTGAAAGTACCTTTATTTCTCAAAGTCTGACTGCCTTTTTATTAAAGGAAATTAAATTAAGCCCATAAGCTTAATTGAATATCACTACGAAACCCTTATAGAATCATAGGATTGGTCATCCAGACCAGTCCCCTGTACTCATGGCAAGGCCAGCCACCTTCTAGATCATCCCTGACAAATGTCTGTCTAACCTGCTCTTAAATATCTCCAGTGATGGAGATTCCACAGCCTCCCTGGGCAATTTATTTAAGTGTTTAATGACCCTGACAGTTAAGAAGTAGTTTTTCCTAATGTCCAACCTATACCTTTTCCTTGCTGCAATTTAAAATGATTGCTTCTTGTCCTATCCTCTGAGGTTAAAATGAACTTTCCTCCTTGTAATAACCTTTTATATATTTGAAAACACATCCTGTCCCCTTTCAATCCTCTCATTTTCAGGCTAAACAAACCCAGTTTTTTCAGTCTTCCCTCATAGGTCATGTTTTCTAGACTTTATTCATTTTGTGTTGCTTGTCTCTGGACTTTCTCCAATGTGTCCATTACTTCTTGTGACTTGCTTACAACACTCCTGCTAATACATCCCAGAAAGATGTTCACTTTTTGCAACAGTGTCAACTCTGACTTCATATTCATGTGGTTCACTATGATCCCCCACCCCTGCCCCAGATCCCTTTTCACAGTACTCTGTAGTAGTCATTTCTCATTTAGTATGTGTGAAACTGATTGTTCCTTCCTCAATGGAGTACTCTGAATTTGTCCTTATTGCATTTCATCCTGCTTACTTCAGACCATTTCCTCCGTTTGTCTAGATCATTTTGAATTATAATCCTATCCTCCAAAACATTTGCAGTGCCTCCCAGCTTGGTGTCATCTGCAGATTTTTTTATGTTTACTGTCTATACCATTATCTAAGTAATTGATGAAGATATTGAACAAAACTGGACCCGGGATTGATTCCTGCAGCACCCCACTCATTTTGCCCTTCCAGCATGACTATGAACCATTGATAACTGGTCTCTGGGAATAACCATTTATTCACCTTGCTTACAGTAGCCCAATCTAGATTGCGTTTCCTTAGTTTGTTTATGAGAAAGTCATGCAAGAGAGTATCGATGTCTATCACTTCTCACCCCCACTCCTCCACAAGCCTTATTACCCTATCAGAGACAGCTATCAGGTTGGTTTGACATGATTTGTACTTGATAAATCTATGCTGACTGCTTGCTTATCTCATTATCTTCTAGATGTTTGCAAGTTGATTGCTTAATGATTTGCTCCATTATCTTTCCAGGTACAGATATTAAGCTGTCTGATCTGCTGTCCTTATTTTCCTTTTTATAGATCGGCACAATACTTTTCCAGTCTTTCATGACTTTTCAGAAATAATCACTGATGGCTGAGAAATCTCCTCAGTGAGCTCCTTCAGTATTCTAGGAAGCATTTCATCAGGCCATGATGGCTTAAAGATATCTAGCTTG